GGAAGACCCGGCTGTCTTACTAAGTGCTATTCTGTTCCACCTTGTCGTAGGCATTCAATGGAAACGACCACAGAACGATCATCTTGTAACGGAGAAGTCTACTGTTCGACCAAACCGACTGATACGTAATTGAGATCAACGATGCGGAAGAACGGGGTGGACGGCGATAAAAGGAAACGATCTCGGACGAGAAAGGAGCAAAAAATATCAGCGAACATTCGCGTGTAATAGCGGTTATATTCCGGTAACAAATTACACCCGCGTCGTACTCTCTTAATTATTGGTTTCTAAGTTTGAGATAATAGCGCGTGATAGACTTTTTCCCGCGAAGAGCGACGCGTTTAGATGAAGACTTATTAGAAGATTCGATTCTGATAGGATCAACAGCATCTTTGTTATCACGTCACGTAACCGAGTACGAGATATTCCCGACATGAGTTTTCGAACGAATATCACCATTTGCGCTGATATAATATAAATAAAGTTCCAAGGGGTAATTAGCACTTCATTAAAGAAGTATGCAGATAAATTAAATTAGTTCGTAATTGATAATTAATATTGAATGCGTAATTTGCTCGAGAAACTATTAATTACACTGCGAGGAACCAGTGCGACGATAACATTGTATACGCGATTTATTTACATGTCATATCGTCTCCCGCAAATTATCCCTGCATTTTTCTTAAAATAATAGATAGATTGCGGCAAATGTTATTCTTGTTTGCAGACATTACGACGTCTGTGAGGCGAGCGTGACAACGACAAATGTATGGAGCTTCATTGTGGAAACCTATTGTACACGCGCGTGGCAATAATCGGCCGCGACGCACCTCGTTCTGTTCTGTTCTCCGGTTTTGTGACAGCGGAGAGAATGGCGGATATATGTGACATCGCAACATGTAACCCGGTACATGTATCGGATGCACGCAGGCGAATAAAAGTCACGGCTCGGATCAAGAGGCGCGTCACGTCGCGTACTCAAAAGTATTATGTATGCATCCTCTCTTGCAATTGCAAAACCGACTTTTACAGCGAGCTTTTCAACAAATTATATGTCACCATGACAACTCTCTTTCTCCGATATATATGTTCCCTATTCAATATCGCGGCTCTAACAATTATTAAAAGTAAGTTGAATGAAATTTGATGATTATTTTCCCGATGTCGGGGAAATATAATTTGACTTTATAATCGAGGATCTTGGCAGAATCTCGAGAATGTAAAATTATCACCATGGAAACTGTTCGGGCAAATTAAAAAATAAAAAAAAAGATATAAAAGTGACATTAAAATGGAAAAATTAAATACAATTGTAACTAGAATATAAAATATTACAAACTTTATTGAGAATGGCTCTTACACGATTAAAATCAAGTAAAATCCGAATAAAATGGCAAAAGAGCCACGCGCAGTTTTTAGGGCGCAAAGATATATAATTAAAACCAAAAAATAAATTAAAAAATTAGAGAATTTTAAAAAATAAATTTTTCTCTTACCTTTGAAACGATACACGGCATTCTCGTTTTTGAAGACGATTTAATACCTTATCAAACCAGGTACAATCATTGTCGAGATTTCGGATTGCGTGTGATGCGCAGCACTGTACGCACAGATATTGTTTATAGGCCGTTTTCCGAGCTTTCGTTGTCGATACTCAAGAGAGGTAGATTTAACAGGGAACTACAGACGAACCAACTTTAACATTTATAATAATTGAACGTGGAAACTTTAACACGACGATTAAATAGTAATTGACAACTTTCGTTTGGTCGTTAAGTGTCACCTTTCTTCTCCCTTTTCGTGTCGCTCTATATCATCATCTCGTCAACGACACATACATGTATACAAATACACGTGTATACATACATATAGATTCTTTTATATACGGCAATATATCTCTCTCAAATTTGGAACAAACGGTAAATTTTAATCACACTCCGCACACAAAATTATATATTAATATTATATATTCAGAAGAGAATTATTATATTAGTAGAATTATTAATGCTGATGATGTTATCGAGTTAAATCAATATAGACCAGTTTGTAATTCATCGAGCGAGCGTTCTCGCGCGCCCAATTTTATCCCCTCCACTCGATATGTCACCCGATATCACTCATTTACAATGCTGGCCCCTGCGTAAATCCAATTGAGAATTCGTATCCTCGATCGCGCGAATTCTTCCCTTCTTGCTACTCCAGGTTTTCGCCGATTATATCGCACGGCCTTCCCTTCTTCGTGAGACACTGGCGAAGTAACACTGAGATTTTAGAGCACTCTTAGATTTAATTCTACTCTCGTTACCCGCGTGTCACGATTCTCACGCGCTTTCTCGCATCGAAGGAGTTTCTAGAGATCGTGGTACCACTGAAAACACAATACACGTGATGCTTGACGTGTCGCCGTCTCGTAATTCGCTTACGCTGAAAAGGAATAATCGTTTCGTCTCTTTCCCGGCGAACGATACGTTCGCGCATCCTTACTCTCGGCTTTATCGCCAGCTTGTCGCTAATTTTAAGAAAGGAAATTGCCGCAAAGGAATTCGCACGTAGAACGTTAAGCGATAATATGCCGTGCAAAGATAATAGATCGATAGGCTTGCGAGATTTCATTTTCTTTTTCGTAATATTCTACATTTTTCTTTTAGCATAGATTTTTGGATACAAGAGCGCATTTTGTATAATTTATTAGCGCGATTTAATATTTCAAAAACTTAGTTTGCTTTTTTTTCCGGCAAATCTATGGGGAATATTTCGCGTGCAACTTCGTCATCAGGGATCCGTGACTTTCGTTACGATGGGAAAGCATTGAATGTCGCGTAATCAAGAAAGTTCCGAGAATTATTTTATTACTTCGATCGTGGAAGTTACTGGATTAGCAAATTTGCATTTCGTTCCATTCTAAAAGACTTATAGCAAAGTTCGTTCTTGTAACCCGATAGTTTATATTATTACAAACAGGCTTCTAGCGAATAAGAAAGATAACAGTTCCTTGAATCGGAAAATTAGGTTCCATGAAATAAATAACTAGATCTTTTTTCTTGTTAGCTGCTTCCTCATAATTGTTATGTCAAGTTTGAAGTAATTAACTGCCAGTCGCACTGCCAACGCGACTATAAAAACGCTAGCGGTTAGTAATTCCTATTTAGCCAAGATTAACAGTCTCGTTTCTTGTTACACTTTGCCAGTAAAGTCAACATTTTACATTCCTGCCCTATCTGGCAATCGTATAATATCTATGAGTACACTAACAGTCATAGTATCTGCGTTCTCTCTCTGTATAATGCTCATCCTACTTTAGAAAAATATATTACAACGTTAAATAATGTTTCACAGAACTCTTGCAATAATAAATCCTATATCTTGAATTAAAGAATGCCGTATTAATTAAGAAAATACTGTTTCAAGTACTGTATTAGTCTCTTTATACGATTGTAGCAATATCAGAATTATCTCTATGAAACATTTGGAATAAAACCAAAAAAATTTATATTACCGCGGACCGATAATATTGTTGCAAGTCAGGCAAAGGAAATGTAATGTCTAGATTCCTCATATCTTTTATTGGAACAATGTACCACTTAGTACGAAAATGTTCATCCTTAAATGGATGTTCAGATCATACTGGACTTTATGCAACTTTTATACCTACACAGGTGTACGTACTTATTAATAATAAAATGATTGATTTATTAAACGACTTAAAATGTTTTTATCCAGACTTTAGAACTTTTTTTATTCACGGCGCAAAGACGTAAATCATTTTTCTTTACAATCGGCTCATCCGCGATATCAATTTCCGTAGCGCAAAGCCGTGGAATTTTATTACGTTTGATTGAAAAACCAGTCAGAGGGTTTGACTATAGAAGTGTGGTTCGTGAAAGTACAATTCTCTTATAACGGGGAACTCTCGTGGCGCACCGAGATTGCCTGCTCGGCTTTATTTTGCGCAAACTATGCGAATCCGGGAAGCCTATCATCTGTTTGCTTAACGTATCGATCTTTGCAGGTATAATCGACTAATATTTTCTCGATAGAGTAAAAATATGCGCTTTTATCGTTTTTCTATTCTAATCGAAATTTTAAATGTCAGTTATGTAAAATTTTTAATTGAAAGGATCAAAGTTTATATATAGATATAAATATTAAATATTGTGCCACTGATAAAATTTCTATTGCACAAAGAACGCACAGGTAATTGATAATATTCTTTTTCTATTTTTTCACCAAAAATTTAATTTACGAAAAATGTCGACGAGTGTATCAAATTCGAAATCTTCTAAGTTTGGTTATTAATGAACGGCAATCGATTTCAACGTGCACATCATCGTGTTATACCGCGGTAGCAGAAAAATATATACCCTATATGTTTCTCTTTCTATAAATTGAAACAAAATAACCGAGAGAAAAAGAATGCGCGCGCGTATCGCGCGTATCGCACTCACGAATGTTCACGCTTACAAGTTTTTTCACGCCTGTCTGCAAAAGTTCCCGATAAAGGAACGAGCGTTCCTTCGTTTGCGCGAATGGAAAACCTCACGCGAGAACACAGCGCCGCGTGCAATCACGCCGCTCTCACTCCGGGGCCCTTCGATCAGCACACGCAACCCCCGCAGTGCGAAAAGCCCTTTTTCCCTCCCGACGCACGTCCGCGCGCGCGCGCACGCACCGCCGACGAAGACGACGACGCATCGTCGTCGAGTTCACGCGCGCACGGGAGAGCTCTCTTCGCCCTCGTCGCCCTCGTCTCAAAATTCTGAACGCCGGGGGCGTCCACGTAGAACAGAGGAGTCGATCACGCGAGAGGCCGTTCACTCCGCGCCTTCGCCGGGAAGTCGTCGTTCACGCGAGTAGCAGCGTCGCTCGGGCTGCCGGCGACGGCGGGACGCCACTCGACGACGGCGACGACGCCGGCACTTCCTCGCTACCATTATCCACTCACACCGCTCCTCACAGCCGGGCGCGCGCGGCTCGCGCCGTATATATTTCCGGAGGGATGGAAAATAAAAGAGGGAAACACACGACACGAGTCGACCCTTACGTGGCGCGACGCGACGCGACGCGACGCGACTCGACGCGAGTAGAAACGGATCGACGATGGGCGGCCGCCTTTTAACGGTCTACGCGCGCAGCGGGTAGGCCGTGTTAAGCACGGCACTCGCTACTGCCGGCTGGTAC